GGAAAGAAGGAAGGGGAGTCTCCCACCCTGGATCGTGGACTTCAGAAAAGCAGAATTCAGGGAAATTATGAGCAAGATCCCTTGGGAGGCCAGTCTGAGGGAGAAAGGTATGCAGAAGAGGTGGTCATATTTTAAAGATGCCTTACTGAGGGTGCAGGAATGAATCATCCTGATGTGCAAGAAGACTAGGAAGTCTGGCAGAGGACTAGTTTTGCTTAGCAGGAAATGCTTCAGTGAGCTAAAACGCAAAGACTACTTAGGAAAGTTGGACATGCAACCCTTGGGGTTACTAGGAACAATGACTATAAACTGACAGAGCAGATTTAGATTAGACATTAGGAAAAGTTTCTTTACAGTAAGGGTTGCCAAAGTCCGGAATGGGCTTCCAAGGGAGGTGGTGCTCTTCCCTACCTTGGAGGTTTTTAAGAGGAGACTAGACAAGCACTTGGATGGGGTTATCTGACCCCAGCACTCTTTCCTGCCCAGGGCAGGGGGTCAGACTCCATCTACTAAGGTCCCTTCCAACCCTAAAAATCTATGAAATCTATGAAGTTGCAGCAAGGGAAGGTTTAGATTAAAGGGAAAAACTCTCTCACAAGGTAGTGAAGCACTGGAACAAGTTACCCAGAGAGGTTGTGGACTCTCTGTTCTTGGGGATTTTTAAGACCCAGGTAGACAAAGCTTTGGCTGGGATTATCTAATTGGGGATGGTTCTGCTTTAGCTGGGGGTGGACTAGATGACCTCCGGAGGTCCCTTCCAACACTAATTTTCTATGATTCTAAGTTTCTGAAGGGGCACGTGCCTCACCCGGAAGCCTAATGCATATGATGCAAGAGAAAAGGGCTATTAAGTAATCTGCTTTGCAAACTGCTGTTTTATTTCAGCCAGACAATACGTTTCCCAGCTCTGTCCTGGGAAATTTGAATTACTCTGAGCCTAATCTAGCACATTCCATGAGCATATTAAAAATGAATCCTTCTCTCCAGATGGCATGTGTAGCATCTTGTATCTTTTTGAGTATTTTATGTTAACATGAGGAAACTCATCTTTTGTATATAAGGTTAAAGGGACCTTTTTCTTTTTAAAAAAAATAAAAATAAAAAAAAAAATAGTACTGGAACGGGCTTCTGCCTCTGTCCCTTTAAAGAGGAAAGAACAGCTGGGTTAGTCATCTGGAGTAAGCAGCCAGAAGAAAACCAAGATAAGGGGCTACTGGGCTGCAAGTTTCCCATTGCAGTAGGAAAAGGGGTAAAGCTCCAGACGGGTAGCAACAGCAGAGCAGTAGAAGCAGGAGGATTATTGGGCTCAGAGGGAACCTTTGTACATGGTGGAGAAACCATGTGACTGGAAGGGTGCCCAGAGGGGTCCCGAGGGGTGGCAGCTGAGATTCTGAGAGGTGTATATGAAGGAGCTGAAGCAGGGCAGGGGATGCCATGACTGTCCCAGGCCCACCCTGACACAAGTAGCTAACACCACTCACTCATTCCTCTGGATGTGTCAAATACTAGAAGTGAGGCCTGCAAGTGGCACTGAGAATACATCCCAGCACTGCTCTTAGGCTCTCTGTTGCGAGCATCCTTATTTAGCATGTATTCAGTACTGCCCTGAAGAGACCATGTTACCTCATTTTCAGGATTTGGCATGAAGAATGGGAGTAAGTGTGTACACCATACTTCACGGTGGTGCTCTCGGCTATAAGCATGCAGGCCACAGAAGCTAAATACGTGCTTAGTTTTTCCCTTAGGTGTGGTGCACAATGTTCATGGTTACCTGCTTACAGTACAGTATTCAATTCCACAGGGGAAACAGCCAAGGAGACTTGCATAAACCAAAATAGTAACTTGAAATTCCATCCTAAAACCTCATGAGCAAAATCTTGAATATGTGATGTAATGTAACGTGCTAGGGCCTGTGCTCATAAGTGAAGGATGCTCAAGAAGAAGTGAAGGTTAAGACTCCAGGCTGTTACTCAGGAGATCTAGACTCATTTCAAAGCTGTGGTTGCAGCTTCCTGAATGGGCAAGTTGCATAATAAAAATGAGCCTCTTAATTTAGTCTCAGACTCGTAACAGGGGGAGAACCAGACCTTCCTTCATTAGCCGTGTCTTAATTTTAGCCTCTTCAAGGCTAAGACTCCTTCTTATGCTGTAGTTGTTCAGCACCTGGAACAATGGGCTTTGACCCTGGTTGGGGACAGTAGGCACTACCATAAGACAGAAAAAGACAAATGGAATATGGAGAGAATTAGACAGGTCTGTGGAGAGACTGATAGTAATGAAAGCCTCTGAAATTTATCTGTAACATGTACTGATGCCCAAATTCCTACTCATCATCTGGCCTCTAGCTGTAAAGATTACAACCCTTTTCTTAGCTCAGGGTCATTATGGCCAAGTCGTGAGGTTGATTTCAGAAAGCAAAAAACAATAGCTTCTCTGGGGAATTTGTTAGATTAAAGATGATTCCCCTGCTTGAGTCCCCAAGCCTTTTCTTAACTTCCAAACCAAACACTGCCTGAGTTTTGGTTATATTTAAATAACTATTTTTCGTTCCTCTTTAGGCTGCTTCTGCACTCCCTGTTTCCAGGTGGTATGCATGCTCTGTAGTCATTCTGTCTCCTGCTGAGGCATTTTGGGATAACTGCCTAATATTCCCAGCATACATCTAAACAAGCTCTACACAACAGAACTGCCTCAGTCAGGAGACATCCCATCACCTTCTCTGCTGTGCAATAGAAAATACCTTACCAAGGAGGAGGAAAATTTCAACACCCTGCTTGCCATCAGACACATTGGAGGTAAACCGACTGCTCCAACTTTTATTTGAGCCTAATTTGCATAAAATGAACTTTTCCACCCAGGGGAACCTATAATGTCTTTCTGTTCTACTGTGCAATATGAAATTTCATTTCTACCTGGGAGATGTTACAATCTGTTCATTCTCATTTGCATGAGGAAAGGCGCATGAGCCAGAAAGCTTGCGAATAAAGGATTTTTTTCACAACTATTTAGTTGGTCTAATAAAAGATACTGCCTCTACCAAGAGTTGTGAATACTTACAGCATCCATCCATCCAGCTAGGTAGATGCATAAGTAGAACATATAATATAAGAAAGAGTTAAATTTTTTTTCACATTCCCAAAGCGTAGACTTCAAGAACAACACCAAAAGTCATGAGAGCGGCCAACATTGAAATAACTATTCCAGGGAAACAAACAAATGTGAGAAAAGAGGGCCAAGGCCTAGAGAAGTCCTGATGGAAACAAGGTGGCTGACAAAGCAGATCCTTAGTAGCTTAAATGAATTCATTCCTCTCCACTATCATCCTTTTTTCCTTTAATACTAACACACAACAATATAATAAAATAAAGTTTCGGGTACGAGCTGTGATCATCTACATGACTGCTTCAGTGACTGCCCTCAAAATCACCATCCATTAGGTTTTGCACAGAAGGGAAACAGGACTGTTTCATGTCATCTTTTCATTATTGAATAGACGTATTTATATCTCCTCATTGCAGTATAATGATGGTGTTTTTTCTCTTATAGTCATCTTGTGTTGGATAGTTATAGCATGACAACCAGATGTTATAAAGGTAAACTACTTCCATTTAAAATGGAGTGTTTGTTTGTGGATGAGCATAATTTCTGAGCCCCTTATAGGACAGGAAGTGTCACAGGGACCTTTTTTCTCTCTTAAAGGTCCCAGTGAGTTTTGAAAGTTAACACTGCAGTGAATTTTGGATGGAAATGACCACTCTATCTTGTCTCCCCCAGCACACTCCCTCCAAAGCACTTGTTGCAGGAGAGACTGGGCTGGACCACATGCTCCATGTCTGTATATATGTAGGGCACAGTAAGGCACTTGCTAAAATATTGCTACAATCTGCATAATCACCAATGAAAATGATTAGAGCATTACCATTACACAGCCAGCCTTAAAGTAAGGAGTGGGCACAAAGGAAGGATCCGGGAAAATACTCAATTTGTGAGCTCGAGCACTAGATTCAGACCAGCCGTCTTATCATTGTTCCTAGCAAGTCATCATTCTTCTGCCACGGAAAGGGGCACCCTTTCCAAGTAGCACAACCCATATGATTTACCACCAAAAATGGCAGCTCTAAAAAAGTGTTCCATGGGCCAGTGATTCCACTGGGCCAACCTTATCCCCCTAACAAACAGTCCCTTCTTTCTGTTAACATCTGCTGGTGCTTCTTTGTAGCTGGAAATCAACCAGAGATCTTGGGAGTAATCACCATATTTAAGAAAACTCCTTCCTTTGTCTCCAAGGAAACACTGCTATGCTGTCTTACATCAGGAGCAGCATGTTCTGGAGTGGGGGTGGAGGAAAGGAAGGAACAGGGAGAGCAGGAAACTGGAAGCTGGGAAGAGGAGAACAGGCACAAATTAGGCAGGTAATGGTTGACAAGAGGAAATAAAGTTTCTCTCCACCAGGGAGCTCAAGGTTTACACAGAGAGAATGTATGCTGGGGTGGTCTCTACACAGGATCCAGCCTGGGAAAGAACGCTGTCTCCCCTGGAAAGGGGAAGGAAGGGAGGGAACTCTCCAGGACTGTGGGAAGATGCAGAAAGATAACAGACTCCACCACCACAAAGGGGGTAATAAAAGAGGAGCAGTGATAGAAAGGAAGGGGAATTCCCTGTCTAAAAATATGTACCCACTGAGATTCATGCGCTATAATGGAAATTGCTTCTTCTGAGGCTCTACAGAGCCTCCAGTTCCAGCACTAGAATATATAACACTATAATAACGTAACCACTGAGCCGGCCTTCTTTCCCAGGCACTTCCTCCTATGGGAGGACTCCTTTCTAAAGCAGAACTATCACTGCTGCTACCTTTCAAAGTTCCCTTACACAGTAGCTTGGGAAAATCCCCATCCTCCATTATAGCATGCCTACATCCCACTTTAGCAGCTTGGACCCAGCAGCAATCATATTCATGCATTGTTGACATCACAGCTTTTACAGACAAAACTACTCACCTGGAGCAGGTTTTAGTTGTCCAGAGGCTGGAAGGGCAGCAGGACTCTTTAGTCTGAAAACTGTGATCCTGGGGGTTACTCTGAGTTCTTTTGTTCTTTCCTTTTGTTCCTCCACCACAAAAAGGAGGCAAAATATCCTTCTTAAGAAGGTTCAGCTTAGTGGAGAGCTCTCAGCAGTGCCTTTTGAAAGGAGAAAGGAAGCCTGTATTATTCTTAAGACAGATAACAGTGGGGGGCGGGATAGAGGTAGCAGGGAGGAGGAGACTGAAAGATCTGAAAATGATTGTGGGAGAGCTGGGGACTCAAGGCACCTGTCACCAAGATGCTGCATATATTCCAGGCAGGAATTAACACTGACAATGCTTGTGTGACTACTTCGCCCTCCTCATACAAACTGCAAAAAAGAGTTAATGGCAGTCAAGGGCACAGGATGATAATATGGTGCACAATGTGTGGTGCTAAAGAAGGTTTCACTTGCTATTCCAATCCTATATCTCTTTCCTTCTGTAGCTTTCAACTAGATTGCCTTTCATTCAGAAATTCACTTGGATGCAAAAGCTAGAAGGTTACCAGATACTGAGCCCAGGTTTTTTTTCTTTTACTAATCTTCTTTATGTAAACAGAAGCTTTGAGAGCTAAATACACATCAAGACCGCACAGCTTCATTTGAAGAACTGCAAATACACATTTTTGGACTTTATCCAAACATGCAGGTTTTTCCTGTGTACACATCAGTCACGTCACCAGCCAGATTCTATTTATGTAGCACGCAGAAGAAATAAGCAAGCAATACATTTTAGCTGTGGGCCAAATTCAGTCTTCAAGGAATTGGATACAGCTTCCATTGACTTCCTTTGTTGCTTTATTAAATACTGATGACTAGAGGTACTTCTCTAGTGGAAACCAGGTTAAACACCAAAATTAAAGCAAAACCACAAGAACATATTTTAGGTGTCAAGTACAAGCATTTTCAAACTAGTCATCACTCCTGTGATAAGGGATAGGGAGAGAAGAATCCACAAAGACACCAACTCCCCCCTACCCCCACCTGCCTGTTTCAAAGCTACAATGTCATGTCTTAGTGCATATCTGCTTCTAGAAGCTCACCCCATTCTGGATAAATGTCAGCTACTACCTGACAGCTGAGGGAATTCTTATTAATCCAGGTGGCTGTGGTTCAGAGGCTTGTGCTGGGTTCAGTGCCCATTGACAGCTGTGGAAGCTGTGAATGGCCAAAATGAGTTACATGAAAAAGCATCCTAGACAGGACTTAAACTTCTGTGGAAAACATGACCCACCCATCAAAGAATAAGTAATATGCTTAATATTGGTATAAGAACATGAAAATGCTGTACCGTGTCAGACCACAGGTCCATCTAGCCCAGTATACTGTATTTCACAGTAGCAGAGAACAGATGCTAATGGAAAGAGTATTTATGTAGGACCTGTTCAAACTGATCTGCTCCTCTTCCCCTACAGCTTCCAATATTCAGAGGCCTAGGCAGCCCTAATTTGGAGTTTGCACCCCAGCTATCATGTATACTTATCCTGCATGACTATGTCCAATCCCCTCTTGAGCCTGGTTAAATTATCAGCATCCTATAAACATCCTGTGGCAGTAAGTTAAATTGCACACTGAGTGAAAAAAAAATTCCTTTTATTCATTTTAAACCTGCCACCTAATAATTTCACTGTATACCTCCTATGTAGGGCTGCCCTTGAAAGCTGTGCGGAAGCTGCAGCTGGTACAGAATTTGGCAGCCCATTTTCTGATGTGGATGGGTCAGCAGGATCACAGAACTCCAGTGCTCCACAATCTACATTGGCTCCCAGTAGCTTTCTGGCCAAAATTCAAGGTTCTGGTTTTGACCTATAAGGCCCTAAATGGTATTGGCATTGGCCCTAGGTACTGAAGGGACCACCTTTCCCCTTATGCCCTGTTGCAATGCCTAAGATGAGCCAAAAGCAACCTCCTATAGATAATATCAGTTCACCAAGTCTACTTGGCAAACACATGGGAAGTCATTCTTGGAAGCTGTTCCCCAGCTCTGGAACTCCCTCTTTCTTGATGCTTGCCATATCCTGACCCTGGACATTTTTCAGAAGTGCTGGAAGGACTTATCTGGACAGGCACTTGCCAAACAAAACTAGGATGAGATGTCATTTGGAGGAATGAGGTGGGGCAGTGCTGTTTTATCCTGATGTTCTAGTTCAGGGGTGGGCAAAATACGGCCTGTGGGCTGCATCTGGCCCACCAGGCCATTCTGTCTGGCCCGCAGGCCCCTAAAATTTTTTGAAAGATTAATATTTATTTGCCTCTGGCTCCAGTCAAAAGTGAAAGCAGACAGGGGCAGTAGGACCCAGGGGAAGCCACAGCAGGCCCCTGGACGAGCAGGGCCCGCCCTGCCCCAGCCCCCCAGCAGGAGGGACCATGGGGCTGTTCCCGCCTGTGAGGGAGTGGGAAGCTCAGGTAAGAGGCGGTTGGGGGCATGTTGGTCCCCATCTGGCCACAGGGCTGGGGGCTGGGAGCAAGGGGCCATGCGGGAGAAAGCGCTGGTGGGGCCCAGAGCAGTGTGGCTCCCCTCTCTCCCTGCTGGAGCAGCCCAGCCCGGCTCCATGGAGCCTAGGCAGCTGCACCCAGGGCTCCTGCCATCCTGCTCTGGGCCCCGCCGGCACTGGGGGCACTGCCTGGCTGTTGCTGGCTCCCAACAGGAGGGGGGGCAGCACAGGGGGTGCCTAGGGCTGCTGGGGGTGGCATGACCCGGCTGGGACGTGGCCCGGGGAGGCAGCGTGGAACATCCATCCCGTGCCTGAGGCTTGGAGCAGCAACAACCCAGCTGCCCCAGCCACAGGAGGCTCTGGTGGGTGCTGCCATGCTGGGGGGAAGGCGTGGGCCTCCCTGCCCCACAGGGGCCCAGCAGCAGCTTGCTCCCTGGCTCCAGGATGGGCAAGAAGGCTGCACCAGGAGTGGAAGCGGATCTGTGGCCACTTTTCTGCTCCAGAAGTTCCTGCGGCCACGAGGAGCCCAGGCGCCCGGGGGAAGCTCCTGGCTAGCACCAGGGGCAGCACGGGTCACCTCCTGAGGCTGCTTGAGGTGGCATGACCTGGCAGAGTCCTGGCCCAGGGCGCAAGAAGCTTGGGGAGGCCATAGGAGCTTTCAGAGGAAAAAAGCAGCCGTGGCTCCACTCTGGCTCCTGGTGCAGCCTCCTGCCCATCCTGGGGCTGGGGGAGCAAGCTGCCGCCAGGCTCCTGCAGGGCGGGGGGGGCGGGCCTTCCCCCCAGGGTGGTAGCAGCCACTGGGGACGCCCATGGGGTGGGGGGGAAGCCAGGCTGTTGCCATCCCAAGCCTCAGGCACAGGATGCAACTTCCACACCACATCCCTGGACTTCCCATGTCCTGGGCCATGTGCCACCTTCAGCAGCCTCAGGTAGGCCCCCACACTGCCCCCAGGAGCTTCCCTGGGGCCCCCAGCCTCCTGGAAGCTGCAGGAGCTTCTAAAGCAGAAAATCAGCCACGGCTCTGCTCTGGCTCCTGGCGCAGCCTACCTGCCTGTCCCAGGGCCGGGAGGCAAGCTGCTGTCAGGCTGGCCATCCCCCCAGGGTGGTGGCACCCCCCAGGCTGCCTGTGGCAGCCAAGCATTTGCTACCCCAAGCCTCAGGCGCGCAATGCAAGTTCTGCACCACCTCCTTGGGCTTCCCACATCCTGTGCCATATCGCCACTGACTCATGCCACCCCCAGTGGCTCCAGGAGCCCCCTGCACTGTCCCCTAAGCCTGACAGGCCCTTCTATGGCAGCCCCCAGAGCGCAAACACGGCCATAAGGCTTGGGGCAGCAAATGCCTGGCTGGCTCCCCCCTTGCAACCCTTCCTGCAAACCCCACAGCCACACCCTCCTCCAGACACAATCACACATCCCACAAATACCACACACACACATACACAGTTCCCCACAAACCCCACATCCACCCACCCACCCATACCCCCCAACACCACTGCACACACTATACAAGAGTAAGACTACATTTTGAGCTATTATGCAATCACTTCTACATATAAAGCACAAACACACAGGTATCAGGACAAAAATATATTTTTTAATTGAATTAAAATATAATATTATGGGTATTTGATTTTTAGTACATAATTTGTTTTTTTTCCCAGTTCTAAGATAGCAAAAACCCTCTTCTCTGAAGGAGTAATTCCAGGGGCAAGGGGAAGGACTTACGGTGGCAAGGGTCAGAGGTCAGGGGCGGGACTTCCAGTACTAAGATGGCGATGAGGGGGCGGGGCACCTGTCAAGGGGTGGGGTTACCCATGCAGCCCTCGACAGCTTGCTAAAACTTGCTAAGCAGCCTTCGGCCCAAAATAATTGCCCACCCCTATTCTAGTTCCTTTTAAAATTGTTTTGGTCCTCCTGTCACTCTCTTACTTTTAAGTTATTTTGTTTTCTTATTGTAAACCTCTCTAAGCTGCAAAATGATCAAGGATGGACATTTCACAGTGGAAATGACCATGCAGTTGCTGGATTCCATGGAAGATATAGTTGTGGCTATGTCCAACTGTCCCTTGCCACCAGTGTCATTTGCCCTAAAGAACTGCTGGCTGCCATACAATGCAGTGTGCTCAGACCAATGTGGGAGTGTCTCCAAGCTGTGGAGTGATGTTTCTGGGCCAGGGAAGCAAGCAATGAAAGCTTACAGCACTTCTGGGTCAGGGAGACAACACCAGTCCGATGTTGACCAGTGGGAGCAGATCGCTGTGGCCATCTGGGATGATGAACAGCAGTAGGTGAACTACTGCATGTCACAGCCCACCTTCACAGAGATCGCCCCAGAGGTGGTGCCTGCTTTGAGAGGCTAACAACTGGAATATAAGTGGAAGCTCACTATCTCCAACAGTTAAACCAGTTTAACTGGTACATCCATGGTAAACCAGTTTGATGTTGGTACATTCATAGCATGTGATCACATGTAGGAGGTGTCCCTGTTGATCAAGGGGATGATGGCCCCATAGATCATACTGTAACAGGGAGCTTAGAGTTCCTGTTATTTTAAGTGAGAAACTGCAGCAGACGGAGTCCAGGCAGCTGAGCAGGGATTAGCTGCAGAAGGAAAGGCAGCCTGCTTTTCCTCCTTCAGCTAACCCCTGATCAAGCTCAGAAAGAGGACTCCTGTGGGTGGCTGGGGAAGTCACCTGACCAGA